GGGGTGTTGCCTCTGTGCTTTCCCCTTTTGTATCAAAATTCCAGTGGGAATGTCTGTAGTTAAGCATGACTGGTGACTGGAGTCCACCCACGGTGTCTCAGAAGCAAAGCATGGTAGCGACATGTGAGGAAAAACACACCAGCCATTGAAACCCCGGGAGCGCAGTTGTTCAGGGTCATGCGCACGTGAGGTTGCCACGGGTTGGAAACAACCCAGGATTGTTTAACTGGTTAGGAGTTGGGAAGGCGTGAACTGGTTTAACCTGCCAACGCCTGTCTTTGGAGACAACTTAGAACAGGGGCAGGAATGTGGAGAGAAGATAATTGGGTCATGGGGTTTGTGTTCAGAGGTGGGTCCGTCCCAAGCTGAAACAATAGGGCAGCCTTGACCTTGCTCCTCTCTGCCACTCTGACAGGCCGCCCTGACCATTCAGGATAGCCACATCGAGATCCACAGGCTGGTCCTCCAGCAGCAGGAGAGACTGGCTCTGGGCCACCCGCTCCGAGGCGGCCTGTTTCAGGACCTGGAGAAGCAGCGCGAGGAGCTGGCCAACGTGCACGGGCTCCAGCAGCAGTTCCAGCAGGAGCAGCGGCGCTGGCACCGCGCGTGCGACCAGCAGCTGCGCGAGCAGCGGGCCAAGGAGAGCTGGCTGCAGGAGCGGGAGCGGGAGTGCCAGTCTCAGGAGGAGCTGCTGCTGCGGGACCGCGGGCAGCTGGCCCATCAGCTGCAGGAGTACCAGCAGAACCTGGAGCGGCTGCGGGAGGGCCAGCGGCTGGTGGCGCGGGAGCGGGAGCAGATGCGGACCCAGCACAGGCTGCTGTGCCACTGGAAGCACAGCCGGCAGAGCAGCCTCCCGGCGGCGTTTCCCCCAGGAGGCACGGAGGTATGTGCGCGCGCACGGGCGAGTATGGAAGCCCCCTTCTCAATGCCAAGTGTGGCTGTGGTCGGTTCTGTGACTTTGACCCCACTGTGCTCACTGTGTAGGAGTCTCTCAATCTGTCGACGGAAGCTGAGCTGAGAACTTTTGGAGACAGTGTACATGGGTCTAGAGTTAAAATAGGGGCATTTGACAAACTGCGCTCCTGTCATCGGACCATGGTCCCCTCCCCTCGGGGAGAAGTAGAATCAGATTGGTTCAGTGAGGCAAGGATGGGTTTGTCCTGTAGACACGCTCCCTACGAGTTGAAGGGTCCACTTTATAGAAAGAGTTAGGATTAGTAGCTCAACAATCTGTTGATGATCTATATATATATAATAATAGGCACCGAATTTAGCAGGTCTATTACCATGCTATCCCAAGCACATTCTCTTGGTAAATTTTTTTAGTTCAAATTAATCTTTCATTTATTTATTTTGTTAATAATTATTTTATTAGGGGCTCACACAACTCAAATCACAATCCATACGTACATCATTTGTGTCCAGCACATTAGTACATGTGTTGACGTCATCATTCTCACAACACCTGCCCTCCACCTGAGTCTTTTGGCAAATTTGGTTTAGGGCATTCAAGATCCATCTCCTTCATAGTCGTATGCAGAAGTCATACCAACTGATCATTCCTTCGGGGGCTCCTGCTTTCCTGCCGCATCCTCTCTCATCACGCTCACTGATGATGCTTCTCCCAGGGGCTGGCTTTCTCATGCGATGGGCACACATGCCCTTTTCATCCATGCTGTGCAAGGTGGTGAGCATTGGGAAGGTTTGAAGTTCAAGGTTGCCTTGGATCCTTCTTTGGCTAAGTTATGTTTGCTGCACATTCCTCGTGGATCTGTGGATAGGAGTTTGCTCTTTCTTACACAGCGAACATAAAAACGCGGCCTTCCCTGTAAAATAACGTGGGGGAGGTTGAATGGCATAGGACACAGCTGTGTTCGTTTGTTTGCTTTTCAAGCTGTGTTGGGCTTAACCCATTGCCATTTGGTTGCTGTTGGTGCCACCGAGGGGGTTCCAACGAATAGGGACACACGCTACACACCAGAATGGGGCACAGTCTGGTCCTGGACCATCCGCACGGCTGTTGTTTTGTGTGAATCCATTGCTGCAGCCACCGTGTCAGTCCAGCTCCTGCAGAGTTACAGTCTCAGAAATTCACAGGGAACAGTTCTAGCCCTCCTCCTTTTCACGGCCCCTCCACTTGGCCAGCATGATGTCCTTCTCCAGGGACTGGTCTCTCCTGACGACATGTCCAAAGTAGGTGAGATGAAGGAGCATTCTGGCTAGCTTCCTTCCAAGACAGAGGGGCTGGTTCTTTTGGCAGGCCATGGTACTTTCAATATCCTTTGCCCACACTAGAATCCAAATGCATCAGCGTTTTCTTCAGCCTTCCCCATGCAGTGCCCAGCTTTTGGTACTCGCTCCTGAAAAGGCGAGTCTCAGAACCTCCTCGGAGCAGTTCCGTTTTGTTCTGCAGGGCCACCTTGAGTCGGAATCTACTCGGTGACAGCAGCAAGATAGCTAGATCATCGGAAGGGGAGCTTGCTCTTTTCTGGAAAGAGAAATATCCTTCTTGACTTCACTCGTGCCGGACTCTTGATTGTTAAGATCTCTTAGGAATAAATAATTCATGAAAATTGTGGCTGTTACTGGAGAAACCCTGTGTCTTCTCTGTGTTTCCTTACACAGGTCATGGACCTAAGCCGTTCTGAGAGTTTAGGCCATGAAAACTCATTCTTCGTCAATGAAGCTTTTGTCCGAATGTCACTCAACACTTCCAATCAACCAACTCCATCCGATACCTGCCAGGATGCAACTGACCCCCAACACGCATCTAACTCGGATTTGGTAAGGACTAGTGGAAACCAGGCAGACCTCAAGATGGACGTTTCCCAGCCCTTGGATGTCGCCCACGAACTGTGGTCAGCCCCTGGGTCCTGCCACCAGACACCTCCTCTCCAGAAAAGCAGCAAGGATTCTTGTAACAATGGTAATGAATACTTTCAGCATCACCTGTAGCGTTTCAAGCAGACATGGTCTCTGTGAATGGTGGGGTCTTCCTTAGAGCAAATCCAAGTGAGCCGTAGAAGGAGAATAAAGTGGTACTGTGGAGCTGGAGTTTGTGGCATGACCTTTTCTTTGGGCACATCTGGGGACTGCCTTCACTTGGAAGTGTCTAGAAAAGCTAGACCATGGTTGGAGGGCTTTGAGAGAGCCACCAGGCAGGGTTTTGTGGTCTACGGTTAAATGAGAATATGCTTTTAAAAGTATGGCCACATGGTGGTTAGTCCTGACTGTAAATCCCCACCCCCAACCTGGGTTACACAGTCATCTACTCTTAGAATGGAAATATATGGAGAGGGCTTGAGGGAAGGCTTTATTGTCTACCAGGGCAATTTCCTGTAAAGTTAGCGAAATCGTCTGCATTGCCATTCAACACCCCCAATGAAACTGTTAGCGTCATTTGTCATTGTAAAAGACGGTGTTCTGTCCCCAGAAGTACCTCGTAATAGTCCAATTTGCTAATCCCACAGTAACGTTTGCCAAACAAATGAAGGGCAGCTTGGGTTACCGGTACCCTACGAATCCCAATGATTCCAACCCATGGCTATTAAAAATGGCTTTCTGTGTGCTTCGGGGTAGGGAATGGGAAGAACTTGAAACCTCCCGACTCCAAAACAGATGGCGTGCAAGCGAATAAACAAATGACCGGCCACATGGAGAGGAATAAATCAGCAACAGCAGAATGCTCAGAAACATGAAACAAGCGATTGTGTGTGGATTTTCAGAACTGGCCGCAAGCTTGGTCCCAGGCTTAATACATGTCTTCATTTGTCAGTTGGGAGGCTAGGTTTTCAACTAAGATCTTTGAAAGCACTCAGCTTTCCCACTGCTGCCGTTGTTGTTAGGTGCCCTTGAGCTGGCTCCGACTCACTGTGACCCGAAGTATGGCAGAATGAAATGCTGCCCCGTCCTGCACCGATTTCTGACACTGCCCGCATGTTGACCTATTAAGGACTTGAAAAATGTTGATTCTCAGCAGTGCATTAAGCCTTTACATCATGTAGTCACTGCTGTGACATTTTTAAGGACCCTTGGTGGCGTAGTGAGTTTATGTTGGGTGGTTAATCTCAAGTTCAGCAGGTCAAAACCACCAGCAGCTCTGCAGGAGAAAGATGAGGCTTTTTACCCCCCTGCAGAGTTACAGTCTCAGAAATTCACAGGGAACAGTTCTACCCTCTGCTGAGTTGACATCGCCGAGGTGGCAGTGAGTGATAACATTCTTAAGGACCCTTGGTGATTGACAGGCTAGGCGTCATTCTGCCCAGCAGTTTGAATCCACCAGCCGCTTCATGAGAGAAATTTGAGGCTGCTTGCTCCCATGCAAATGTACAGCCTTGGAAACTGTCCTAGGGAGTCGTGATGAGTCAAAATCAACTCTACAGTAGTGGAGTATACCATTCTTATTTCCACTCTGCTCCCGGAAAGGACGAAATCGTTCTGTAAACTATCATTTAAAGGTGCTTTAGATAAAATGGATAAAAGCAAATGCAAGGAGTGCACCCCTGGGAAAGAAAAGAAGGGAGGGAGGGCGGGCGGGCTCAGCAGCCTTTAGGAAATGTGAATCACTTGACTAGATAGATCCTCCTTCTCGGTCAGTACTGGGGCACCAAAAGGCAGCGTGCTTTATCAGGCACAGGCGGCTTTGTGTCCCATGCCGCTTGCAGGCTTGCTGCGTTTTGTCTGTGCGGCTGTGCTTGCTGGCTTGGGTAGAGGGAGACCACATTCAGCTTTTGTTTCAAGGACGCATTTCTCGCTTCCTCCTGTGCATCTCCCATGTTTTCCCATTGTCCTCATGCTTCAAAGGAAGAGAGCGCTTAGCCTTTTGGTCACATGCACCCAGTAGACAGAAAACGCACCAAGGCAGTAAACAGCAGTCATGCACAAAACCAATCTATCCACACGTGAGATACCACCACGGGAAATGCTGCGGAAGTGTACTTCTCCTTACGAAATGCTGCGTGCACGGTGGGTGGCGGAACGCAGGGCTTAGACAGGACAGAGAGAAATCAGCTTGGCCTAGCTCTCCTGGGAACATCCTTGGATCAGAAACGCGATGCCCACTCTGAATCACTGGGATTTTGCAAGTAGCCAGAACGGTTTGTTTATGTTGGTTTACTGAAGCATGCAAAGTGATTTCTGAGAGAGAGAGAGAGAGAGAGATTAGGAAGTGATAGGAAACGGGAGGAAAATTGGACATATACTTGAAAGCAGGTGGGCAGGTGCAGATAACATTCAGAATAGCCCAGGTTCGCCAAGTTCTGCGGGGCTTCTCCCTGTGGGCTCCTGGGGTGGTAGTGAGGGGAGGAGGCTGGACTGGAAGAAGCAGGCCCCAGTGGATCCTGGGATGTAAGGAGGAGGCGCACCCCTGTGCGGGAATGGTAGACGATGAGTGAGGGCATCCCCTCCCCTCTTTGAATTGTGCCACTGAACGGTGGAGCACGTGGTCAGCAGGGACTACTGCCAAGGTGCCTGAATTCCACAAACTCGCAAAATTCGCTGTTAACTGCAGGCCATTTTGTTAACTGCAGGCCATTTTGTTAACTGCAGGCCATTTAGCTGCCGCCTTCCATCATAAGACCCTAACGTTTGTAGTTTCCAGGCAACACCTTACAAGAAGAATTTGTTCCTTGTCTGCTCTGGTCTGCATCTGTAACCAGTTCCAATCAGTGGGCGGGCACATTTCCATAACAGTAGAATGGAGAGCTAGTGGTGAAGTGGACTACCCACTGGACTGCAAACCACAAGGGCAGTGGTTTGAACCCACCACTTTCTCAGCAGGACAAAGATGCAGCTTTCTGCTCCCGCCAAGATTGAAAGTCTTGGAAACCACAGGGGCAATTGTAACCTGCCCTGTATGGACAGGAGCAGGTGGAACCGACTCAAGGGCAGTGAGCTTTTCTGGTGGTGGTGGTGGTGGAGGTGGAGGTGGTGGTGGTTTAAGGTGGTTAGAAAGAGCTCTCCTGACTCAATGGTTAAGTACTCATCTACCAAATGAAAGGTAGGGCTTGAACCCACTGCTGGTTCCGAGTTGGAGAGAGGCCTGGGGATCAGCGCCTGCACAAATTGTGGCCTGGAAATTCTTATTGGTGGTGGTGGTGAGGTGGTGGTGGGGGACAAGTCTCCTCTGTCACCTGGAGGGGCTTTGAGTCAAAATCGGACTCCATAACACCTAACAAGACTGAAAGGGAAAAGATGTATTTCAATAAAATATCCCAAAATATCTCGATGCAGCCCAGGTTTTATAACAAAGATCAACTTGCCGACACTGTCCTAAGCTTTTAACTCCTTTAATTCCCACCAAACCTCAAACCCAAACTCACTGCCATCGGATCTATTCCAGTTCATCGCGATCCTATAAGGCAGGGTAGAACTGCTCTTGGGGTCTCCCAAGATGGTAACTCTTTGCGGGAGTAGAAAGCCTCCTCTTTCTCCTGAGAGGTTTCAAACTGCTGACCTTGTGGGTAGCAGCCCATTGTGTAACAGCCACGCCACCAGGGGGCTGAGGCACAGGAGGGTATGTGACTTCTTCAACTCATACAACTAGTAGGTGGCAGGGTTCTAACCTGGGAAATCTGGGCCTGGAGCTTACATTCTTCATCACAATGTTATCAGAGAAGGGGGCATGCATGGAGTAGACATCCTTTTGTGGTGCCTAACCATTTTTAGGGATCCCTGGTGGTAGAGCAGATTAAGCTTTGGACTACTAACCACAAGGTCAGCAATCCAAACCCGCCAGTGGCTCCTTGGGAGAGAACCGAGGCTCTTGTGCTCCAGCAAAGAGGGACCACATCATAAACCCAAAGAAGCAGTTCTGCCCTGTTTGATACGGCCGCTGAGTTGGAACTGACTCAATAGCAGTGGGGTTGGTTTGTGAGTTCAGCAGCATTTTCATATGTAAGAGTGAGTGCTTTTAGTTGTCTGAGAGTTTGTCGCATTTTGCCATTACCGTGGCGGAAATATCAGGAAGCATGTGAGCCTGCTTTGTGCAGCTCCAGCATGGCTGCCCCACACATCTTCAGATATCCCCCGGCCGCTTTAGCTTCACGCGTGCCCAGCCCAGCATGCGTCCTCTACAGGTTGCTTTGTTTCTCTGCGTCCAGGACGTCCGTGCACTCAGTAGACATTTCTTAAGGTCGCACTTGAATGAAATTTACTCTGCAGATCTGCACCTTGTTTTATCAGGAACATCTTTGGATGTTGGCACATTAAGTGCACATTGGTACTTGACTTTATTTACAGTGGACACACCGTTGAAGAACTTGATCTATATACTCTGTGGGACACCAGCCAAGATGACAGAAAACTGCTTTTTTTTTTTTTAACACAGATGTGCCTGTACGATTACAGGAGGCGGGCTTCAAAAAGTTCACCGGAGGATTCCGTGAATTTTTTATTCTGTTTTTCCAGGTTTTTGTGGGTTTTTTTGCAGCCTCCTAGTGGCTCTGTCATTGGTCCTATGAAATACTCGTGTTCTTAATGACAAAAAGAACAAATAAGAAAACTGCTGTAGTCCCACTGGTCCCACAGTGATGGCTTCCCGTTGCTTCCGAGTTCTTGAGAGACTTATCACTGCATTGGTTTGTCTTTTTCACTCAGCAGCAGAGAAAATATGTTACAGTCTGAACATTCATCGGAGGTCTTAGTTCTCCCTCATTATTTTTATCTGTATATCAGGATTTTCAGGCTACCTATAAAAGTTCTCTTTATATCTGTATTAACTCCCAATAAAATGTTTTTAAAAATTACTCAGTACCATAGATCATGTATTGACCTAAAGTCAAATTATATGCATAAGCATGTAAATTATATATACGTGTGTGTATACATATATATGTATATGTGTGTGTGTATATATATATATATATATAGAGAGAGAGAGAGAGAGAGAGAGGAGAGTAAGAGAGAGGAGAGTAAGAGAGAGGAGAG